TATAAAGGCAGATTCGGAGATCCAGCTTATAAAAATGCCATTTGGCGGTCAAAAAACAAATATTATGTGATTTGAATCAACCTATATGAAGTTTTCAAAAAACATCGGTATTTTCAATATTCAAATTTTTCATGTTTTAAAATTTTCAAAAATGTTCAAAAAAAATCAGAGCTTGCAAAAAGAATCTAACTTCTCTATTACAATACTACTATTACAATAAAGAACTATTAAAAGTTTTAAATTACAGTACGGAAAGTTCCCGCAATTTGCCTTTGAGGCAAATGCACTACTAGTTTTCATTTATATTATTATGTCGCATGAGTCAATATCGAATTTTGTATATTTTTATGCATGTTCAATAAGTTTTAATTAAAGTTCAATTTTCCAAAATATCACATTTAATATATCAACAATAGTTTGGTTATATTCACATATATGACATACAAAACAGTTTAAACAATTTTTTATTCTTTCATTATAAATTTCACTGCTATATTTTTTTAACTTAAATTATCTACAGAAACTTATCAAATTCGAATATTTTTAATAATATATTAAAATAATATATTCAAATAATAAAGTATAAATGTAAAATGCCTGGGCCGTGGAGTTTGTTCAACAGATAAATTTAAATTCAATTGAAAAATGTGATATTACTATTTATTAATGCACTATTCTATAGTGTTTATTTAGTTGTTAGTGTTTAGTTGTAATATGAACATCGAGATATGTTTAAAATATATCGTTGTGTATCAAACTTGATCAGCACTCTTAACTCAATGCATTTTCATTTATAATTCTATGTTTCTATGATTTCTAATATCAATTAAACCTTCAATCGATACCCCAGCAGAATCTGGTAATCGTCTTTCAAATTATCATAATTTCGAGCGATCAGTGCGTATCCTCTGAGCAAGCACGTGGCCTAACGACGTTGTAGGACGATTGCCGGGTGGTCTCGCATCGCGGAAAATGTAACCCGCGCTTTTCTCGGACGATAACGCGATGCATCGATTCAAAGGTCAGTCGCGGTCAGTGCGATTCCCGTACGAACATAACAGTGCGGACGAACACAACAAGTGCTTGGAATAAGATATTAATTATTTAATAGTTATTTATTCGCACACGTAATAGATTTACTTTACACAAATCTCTACTGTTCTCCGACTTTTTTACGTAGGCTAAGTTATAGTAATCGCAAAAAAATCGAAAAAGATCCGTTTTCGATAATTCAAGAAACATTTCACTTGTATGGATAAAATGAAGTACTGATTAATTTTTGGGAAGGCAGATTTAGCGGTTTCGGAGATCGAGTGGAAAAAGTAAAAAAAAAACGCCATTTGAGGGTTAAAATTGATTATTAGACATATGCACATCAAATTATCAGATATTTTAGAGATTTTAATAAGTACAAATTTTGTTGACATTTCTATGGGTTCCGTATCAATGTTAGACTGCGATACGACGCTAACGAGCTTCGATATTTCGTCTCCAAACGGCTATACAGCGCGATTGTTTCGAAAAAAATTAAAATTTTCAAAAAATTTCTAAACATAAAATAAATTAAAATTTTTAAGTCTTTTTTGAAATTTTAATTTTCGGTACGGGAAGTTTCAGTAATTTTCGCCAACTTTTGATGAAACTTGCCAAAACTTTTAATATAAAAAGTTTTTTTTAATGGAGGGCCTCTCAAAATTGATCGATTTAAAAAAAAAAATTCTTAGTTGAACAAAAAGTCTTCATTCTTGAAAACTTGGAGCAATAATACTAATATTATTCAAATGCTACTTTTAATCGTCCCAATTCAAATAGGTAATTGAAATTTTTCGAACTAATTTTTATTATACATAAAATAACTAGAAATCTGATAAATATTCACACTTTTTGTTATATAAGTTGACACAGTATAATTTGTAAAGGATTCGATGACGTACTAATTACAAAGCTTAAATCGCCTAATGAATAAAAAATAATAAAAATTTGCAAAATATAGAGTTTTATCAATTGATCTATTAACTGATAAGTTTCCGATTCCTTCTACTTCTTCTCTAAATTATATTCGAAACATGTCTGATGATCCGAAGCGCACCGAATCCACTATTTGAATCGTTTTCTTTCGAATGCCGAGAATACATACCACTCGTGTATAATTTAGAAAAATAATTATTTGCCTGTACATGTATTATATTATAAACCCTCATGCGATAACGCTAAAACGCAAATGTGTGGAATCGGATCCGGCACGCGATCGTCGCATTCCTAGCCTTTGTTGATAGCACACAATATACAACTCCCGTGGGGGTAGTCCACGACCTGAACCTCAGAAACACTTTGGAATCTAACTACCACTACCCCTTATCACAAATCGTTACATGTGAATGCAATTAATATGGGACAGAGCAGAACCGAAGAAGAATTTATATATACTTGAACATATCACGAAATAAAACTAGTGGTACATGGCATCGTGAATTGAGGCACATTGTTGGAACTTCTTGTACCGAAAAATTATTTTAAAAAAGCTTTATTTTTTTTTTTGAAAACGTTGAGAAAATTTTATTTTTTATATATTTTGAACTTTATTTAAAGTAATCGCGCTGCGACTATATATCGAAGCGCGTAAGCGCCGTGTCGCAGACTAACGGATAAGGAACTATTGGTAAGGAACCCATAGAAATGTAAACAAAATTTATACTTATTATTAAAATCTCTATGA